TCATATTCTTTCTCGTAATCTTTCCGCAGGCGTGAGTCCAGCAAGAGGTGCTTGTCCAATATTTCCGTCATGTCTTTGCGCATCTGCTCCAATGCGGCCCCGAGCTCCTCCACATTGAGCTCAATACCTCGGCAGACAATGGTGCGCAGCGTCTCGTCCGTCACGTCGCCATCGGCTCGGATGTCGACGTCGACTCCAGCCTGCCCCTCGGCCACGCTCGCTGTTCGTGCCATGCTCATGCGCTGGCTCAAGAAATGCACCAATCGCCCGGGCTGCATATACGGCCTCAACTCGTTGGCCACTGACCACGACTCATTCTTGCCACGGCGAAGCAGGAACAATTTGAAAACGTACAGCAGTCCAGCGGGCGTCGTGGTCCACTGCCTGATGTCTTGCAGGATGCCGCTTCCTTTGGACACGGCCGTGCACAATAGGAAGACGTTGACAAAGTGCACCTTGTCGTTGTCAAAGAGGCTCAGCTCCACCTCCACCAGGGCCAGCCACAGGGACGTCAGGGGCTCGACCAGCTCTTTCTTGGTCATTCCAGCGTCCAGGCCCGCACTCAGAGCCGCAGTGGCATTTATTACCGCAGGGCCACGGCTGGCAAGCACCTGGCCCAGAAAGCTCGACGGATCGGGGGCTGGCATGGCCTCCAGCAGCAGCAAGAATTGGATCAGGCGTGTTCCAAGACTCAGGTACCTGCTGACGGTTTGCGGCTGTACTTGCCGCATGGGGCGATGTTGATACTGCCCTTCATTGTCGTCAAACAGACGCGTCACCGCAGCGGCGGCCAGGCCCTGATCCGAGAGCTGCTCGTAGGCCGTCCAGAACAGCTCATGCATGCCCGACTCGAGGAGTGCCGACGGGGTGTTGTGGCCCAGTTCGACCATGCGCTCTGGCTTCAGCTCGTTGATGACCAGCGTCATGCCCACGCTGTCGTAGAACGGATGCATCTGGTGAACGCCGTGCGGGCATCGCTTATCCTCAGCCTCCGAGGCCATGGCCTGGGTGCTTGAGATAAACTGCTTGAACCGCTGCTGCTCCTCCAGCTCCTCCTCATTTTCGCTCACATCGGCTGCCGAGGCGTCGTGGCTTTCCTCCACAATGACCTCGACACAGCGGGCCCCAGCACCACGCAGCGGCTTTTGCAGCTTGACTCGTCGAGGCGGCTGCTTGGCCTCTGGATCGTCGGGATGCTCAGCTACGATGTGATTCCACAGACTGCCTTTTGTCGTGAAGCATGCCTGACACAGGGGGCAACCCACACCGTCCA